TTATCATTAGATGTAATTCATTCTTCAGCACATGTCAAAGATGGGAGGCGCCTCAAATTTAAATTAATTTCTGTCAGTTTTTTTTGGTTTGGATAAAGAGGTTGCCTGTCCTGTGCACGCATCCTTAAGTCTCCATTAGCTGCCAAGCACAAAGGCTTAGAGACCAGTTAGTGACAACTTGCTGTAGTGAAACTGAAGAGTTTGACATGAACAGGAAACAAAGAATATTCGCCTTCAAAGTAAAGGTTTTGCCTTTTTAAAATCTGTTGATTGCAGTAGTATGACCGGACTTTTATTTTGGAGGATGGTGTACCATCCTCAAAAGCATCCATTCACCAACCAGTCAGGGAATACACATTTTCCTCTAATGACCAGAGGTTGCCAGGGAGATCACCAACTCGTCTCTATACCTGTGTGACTGAAGGCTTACTGGTCTACTCCACAGTTTGTTGTTGGAGGAACAGAGGGAGTGAGGAGTAGCTTTTAAAGATGATATATAATATATAAATGCATTTCACACTTGACTTATGCTTCACTCTTTTGGTAAACTTTAGGGAGAGAACTGTATAACTTCATGATATCATCTGGTGTTTTGTTGTTTGTGAGCTCAGTCTTTGGGTCAAGCCTAGTTAAGTTTCTGTGTTTCTTTATTCCCTGATTTTTGCTTTCACCTCTCACTGAGTGTCCCCAAAGGCATAAAAGACACAACTTGTTTTTCTGTTCAACTCTCTTCTCAGTGTAAAAGTTTAGTAAGTCTAGAGGGGATTTGTTTTTCTCCTGAGTTCTCTTATCTCACGTTAAAGTCTGCTTTTGTTTTTGTTTTTTTTGTGTCTTCAGTTCATAAACTTGTTATCTGTTATTTCACCTCATAGAAGAAAACACAAGGAAATTCCAATTTGGAGAGTTTTTGCTCAAAAGATATGCAGACTAGTCAGGTTCGGACAACCGGTAGAGTTGGTACAGATGCTTCTGTGGTTCTCATTGGATCAGTAGCAGTGATATATTTTGGATCAGTAGCAGTGATATATTTTGGATCAGTAGCAGTGATATATTTTGGATCAGTAGCAGTGATATATTTTGGGAGGCGAAGGATCTACAGCCTTCTGCTGTAGAAGACAGGCGAACTGCTCATAACAACGTGACTGTTGTCAGCTTGGTTTGTGTTAGAGGTGGATGGTCAGTTAATCATAGAGGGTGTGGTGTTTGCTGTCACCAATGAAGAGTGATTTGAGCGAGATTGCCCCCGGGTCGACAGCAGGTGGATGTTTTAGATGAAGTTCGTGGCAGCAGGTGGATGTGTTGAGCCTGGCAACCGCCCGTCTGATTTCATTCCCTCAGGCCTTCCCAGTGTCGTGTTACTGACTGATGTTTTTCCTCCTCTGTGAATCACGTTAGACAGATGACATTGGTTACTGCCCTATTGTTGGTGGTTTTTCCTCATGCAGTGTGAAATTTAATTAAATGAATGTGAAATGCCACAAACCAGTCACTGACACTGGGTCATTCGCTTTAGAGACACAGAACTAATGTACATTAAACCTGAAACAAAGCTGACAGGAACGTTTGGACTCAGTTTTAGAGGAATGGTTTGGCGCATGGAGTTATCACACACATGACTGGAACCAATGAAAAACTGCTAGTTTGGCTTTTAGATGAAAAAAGTCCACCTTTATTAAAACTTTTTAAACTTTAATTCATTTAAATAATTAAGCACAAAAAGCCCGTCCATATAGAAGGCTCATCATCTCTTGGCTTTATATTTTATATATTTAGAATCTATTAGACACACGGTTAGTGCCAGCAGAAGATTCATCTTTTTTAATAACTTAGACTTTTTTATGTGAAAAGCATCTCCCGAGCTTCTTTGTCAGCATCACTTTATGTCTCATTTGTCTAGTCCATAAAGACACCATAATGTGATACAGTGGTGTTGCAGGGATTTAGTAAACAAGCTGTAAAGTGTCAGTTGTGAAATAACAGATGTTTGTTGTCTTTATGGTGTTTTCAAGTTTTTATAGCTTACAGTTTATAGCTTGAGTAAACTGTTTCCTAGCTACACTGCTGCCAGGTGTACAGTAATACTCATAAGTGTCTTATAGCTTTCATTGTGACCTGTAGTCAGAGCTCACTGTTAACCTGTGAACCTGAGCTCTGATCTTTAAATTTGTTGTGACTGACCTACACTCACAAATCACTTTGCTACGTACACCTAGCAAGTATCAGGTTGGATCTCTTTATGCTTTTAGAAGTTGAATCATGGCATAGATTTAACAAGTTGCTGCAAACATTCCACAGAGACTTTGGTTGACATGATAGCATCACGCAGTTGTTGCAGATTTCCACCAGATCCCTAAGGTGCTCTGATCAAGATGTGGTGATTATAGAGGCCGTTTGAGTACAGTGAACTCGTTTTCATGTTCAAGAATCAGTTTGAGTTAAACTGAGCTTTGTGATATGGTTTATTATTCAGCTGGAAGCAGCCGTTAGAAGAAGGGTACGCTGTGGTCATAAAGAGATGAACATGATGAGCAACAAGACTCAGGTAGGCTGTGGTGTTTTAAATGATGACCAGTTGCTGTTTATGAGCCCAAGGTGGGCCAAAAAATATCCCCCATCACCTTCAGCCTGAACTGTTCATACAGTGTAGGTTGGATCAATGTTTTCATGTGTTTATGACCTTGGCATGAATGATGGAGCAGAAATAAAGACTCTTCAAACCAGACCATTATGTGTAAATCCATGGTTTAAACTCCAGCAGGTTGTCTTGACACTGGCTGAGTGATGAGCGTGTATTAAAGAAGGTTTTGGTGTTCCACGGTCTGGATTTTGAACACGTGATGGTTTACAATGAATCTTGATCATTCTGCAGTCCCGTTTCTAGCATCAAGCTAATGATGCCTAGCTGGAACCCTGTTATTAACAGACATGCAAGCTATTGATCTTCTCATCTAATGTTTCACAAGAAAGAAATCAAGTGCTTCTTTAAAGCTGATATGACAGCGAACACTGTAAACAGATCCTAAAGCAGCACGTGTTAGCAGTAGCCATTTCTCCTCACCGCAGACTGTGGGGAGTTGGTGTGAGGTCAGATGTTCTCACCATCTGATGAATTAAAGATGACTGATGGTGTGGTCCAGTTCTGAGGACAGGGCACCTGAACGTGCAAGCCAATGTTGGCAACATGAAGCTATTAGTGACGCAGGGTTTATTAATTAGTTATAACCTCATCAGTATCATGTTGACAAGGCTGCCAACCAATGGCAGACTACCATTTAAGATGTTACGACTGTGTAAGAGGCAAAGCGTTAATTCTAGAAACCAGCAGAAGGAGACCACATGGACCGTTATCGATACCAGAAATTTGTTATCACAGCAGTTCATTTTCTCTGAAACCACATTATTTTCTTCAAAGTGCTGGAAACAATGTACCCTCCCCCTCATGGCCACCATACATCTTGTTCATCTGCTGTTTTCTGTCAGATCCTCTGTTCAACTACCCTTTTATAAAGAGGAGTATCAGATCACTGTAGCCACGTCAGCTCCAGCACTGAGTGATGTGTTCTCCTGAAACTTAACACAGTTTCCCTCCAACTGAGAGCTGCAGTGAGTGCTGCCATTCAGTTAATAAAAGCAAGAGGAGGAAACTCAAGCACTTCCCTTCCTTCTGGCCTAAGTAGTGGTTCTTAGTGTCCACAAATTATCATTTGATCACTCATTTCAGAGAGTGTTCAATGAGGATGATATTCTAAAGTGTTCATGAGCGAGACCTATAAAGAATTTAATGTTTCACAAACATCTGTGCTATATTCAAAAGCACAGCTTGTGTGTGTGTGTGTGTGTGTGTGTGTGTGTGTGTGTGTGTGTGTGTGTGTGTGTGTGTGT